GCTCTTCCAGAGGACTCAGTTTCAATCTCCCATGTGAGTCATCTCAAAACTGACTAACTTCACTTTCAGGAGACCTGACACCTCTGGCCTCCTTTGATACCTACACTCATGTGTCTAAACCTTTGCAGAGGCACACACATACAAATAACTAAAAAGAATCACCAGAGCCAAGCAACAACAAAAACTCAAGGGAACTAAAATCTGCCTAAGACACCAGCTCTAGATGTATAGCATTCTAATTCTCCAGAATCATAGAATCCCAATCAGTAATTATTCTCCAGAATCTTCCCATCATTTAGGTATGGCTTCAATCCACTGACAGCTGCTATTGTTGGAAATTTTGTATAGCTCTAAAATTCCTGTTGAAACCCAATCTTCAGTGAATGTTAAGAAGCAGGGTCTTAATCAGGTGTGGAGATGCAAACCTTTTATTCTAATACTCCAGAGACAGGCAGGCAGATCTTTGTGAGTTTGTTCCTCACAGTGAGTTCAGGGACAGTCAGGGCTACACAGTGAGACCCTATCTCAAAACAACAACAACAACAACAACAACAACAAAAAGAAAACAAAACAACAAAAAAAGTGGGGACTGTGGGAGATGGCTAGGTCCTGAGGGTATGTCCATTGTAATGAGATTAAGGCCTCTAAGAGACCCATGCACCCTCTACCACGTGAAGTCATTGTTTATCTCCTCTGGAGGGTACAGTGGTGTCATTTTAAAAACAGAAATAAAGCCATGACCAGACACCAGACCTGTAGATAACTTGCTTAGTTTTTTTTTTTTTTTTTAGATTTACATATTTATTTTATGGATATGAGTACACATGTCACTCTCTTCAGATACACCAGAAGAGGGCATCGGATCCCATTACAGATGGTTGTGAGCCACTGTGTGGTTGCTGGGAATTGAACTAAGGACTTCTGGAAGAGCAGTCAGTGCTCTTAACTGCTGAGCCATCTCTCCAGCCCAACTTGCTTATTTTGTATGTGTGTATGTGTATTTGTGTGCATATGTATGTGAAGGCCAAAAGACAACCTTGGGTGTCATCCCTCAGGTACCATACATTTATTGTTTTCATTAATGTACTTAATTTTAAATTGTATGTATGTATGAGTGTTTTGCCTTCATGTATGTAAGTAAGTGCACAGTACCTGGTGCCCTAAGAGGCAGGAGAGGGCACAGGCTCACTTAGAATTTGGAGTTAGAGATAGTTGTAAGCTGCCATGTGGGTGCTGGGAATAGAACTCACATCCTTTGGAATAATAGTAAGTGCTTTAAACTGCCGAGCTACCATTTCAGTCTGCCCACTTCTTTTGGGACAAGGTCTGATGTATTCTAGACTGACCTTAAGCTACATAGATAAGGATGACTTGGAGATCCTGATTCTTCTAAATGTTGATACTATAGGTATGTACCATAAAGCCGAATTTATGTGATGTTGGGGATCAGACCAGGGCCTTGTGTGTGCTAAGCAAGTACTCCGTCAGCTGAGCTGCATTCCCAGCCCTGTTTCCATTAAGGAAAAAAAAAGATTTCCTTATATGTATAAATGTTTTGCCTCATGTATGTATGTGTACCACATGAATGCCTGGTGTCTGAGGAGGTCAGAAGAGGGCACGAGCTTCTCTAGACCTTGAGTTCTGGATAGTTGTAAACCCCTTGGGTGCTAGGAACAGAGCAACAAATGCTCTTAACCACTGAAACATCTCTCCAGCTCCCTGTATCCATTTTTAAAAAAATAATCCACTGCCATTCCTAAACTAGTCACACGATGCATTTAACAGCAAGACAATTAAACCCACTGCATGATACTGAGTTGATCTAATTCTTATTTGTATTTCTATTGCCCTCCATATAAACAGAAACCCGAATTCCCCCCTCCCTTCTTTTTTTCAAAAAAAGGATTTTGAAACAGGATCCCACTGGACTGCCAACAGCAATGTCTTCAGTTGCAAGATGGAAGGATTTCACAAAAGGAAAAGAGGTGATGCTGAGCGGAGGAAGCATCATATAAACAACTTTAGACAGGGTGTGGGGTGGGGTGTAGTGGGGTCGTGATTAAGCTTCTCGATTACACAGTAGTACACACCCACAACTTTAGTACTTTGGAGGCTGAGGCAGTAGGATCGTACGTACACTTGAAGCCAGCCTAGGCTACAAAGTGTGTCTGTGTGTGTGGTGGGAGTCGTGGTAAAAAACAAAACAAAAACTTTTAAAGGAAACATGTTTGAAAGAATCCTTTCCATCAGTTTAAAAAAAAATGCATTCTTGTGTTTTTGTAGTCCAGCCAATAGTTGATTTTTGAATGTGGGAAGGCACGACTGGGTCATAGTGGGCATAAGGTGAGGACAAGGACAGGGAGGACATAAGGTGAGGACAAGGACAGGGAGGAAGAAGGTCATTTTGTTTACAGGCAGTTTACTCTTATGCGGTTTTTTGTTTTTTTGTTTTGTTTTTGGTTTTTTGAGACAGGGTTTCTCTGTGTAGCCTTGGCTGTCCTGGAACTCACTCTGTAGACCAGGCTGGGCTCGAACTCAGAAATCCACCTGCGTCTGCCTCCCAAGTGCTGGGATTAAAGGCGTGCACCACCACCGCCCGGCTACTCTTATGTGTTAAAAGCTCACCAAATAGAAATCTTTTGCTGAGTTAGCTGTATGTGGTGGCTAATGGAGAAAAGTGATAAACATCAATGAATTGTCATGGATGACTTTAAATCTCTCTCTAGAGAGGTGTGTTGTAGCTCTCTACAATGGTTCAGCCCTGTGTCTGGCACCTAACAGGAATTCAGCGTGTATTTAACGATTGACTAGATCTAACAGGATGAAGAGGGAAGGCTCGTTACAAATCACTGAGAATCCACTGCAGGAACACAGAAACCAGAGGCCTCCATTCGCCTCTTTTCAGGTTTTCTGGTGGTCAGTGAGGCATGAAAGTTCTAAACCACGCTCTCGGTCTCTAGGGAGACCTAAGACCAGCCACTTCCGGATTAATCCCCACCCACAGAGAGCACTTCCGGTCTCCAGCCCTAGAAGCTGCGGGAAGGTAAGTTTGTGTCTCAAGCACATACATGGTCCTTGGAAGTCGTTCCTGGCCCGGATAGAGACAGATCCAGGCGACAGCAGCCCCTTAAATTTGCGACATCTTGCACTGCGCCGCAACATTTCCTTCGGGAATATTACAGGCACACCCTCGGTTACGTCACTTCCGGTCACCTGGCGGTTGGCCAATTCCGGACGTGATGTTAGTTCCACTTGGTTCCGGGAAGAGTCGAGGCTCGTCTTTGCATTTCCTCACTTAACCCTGGTGCACTGTAGCTGAGAAGGTGTAGTATCTTAAATAGAGTTGGGAATTTGGCAACTGAAAATGCAAGTCGTCCAATTGAATTGAGACCTACCACAACGTAATTTTTAGTTATAAATAATCCAAAATATAGTGGTCATAGTTATAATAAAAAAATTACTTATCCGAAATTCAAATTTCACCAAATGCCCTGTATTTTATCTGGCAATTTTGGCCTTGAACACTTTTTCCCCCCTGAATTCTAATAGGACCTTCTAGGCTTTTGCCCCTCTGTGAAATAGATACCAAGTTCACCTAGGGCTGAGTGTTATGTTTTAGATGCTAAGATGTGTTTAGTACCAAGCCTGGGGGAATCCCATACGTGAAAACTGAACATGTTTGCACGCGTCCCACGGCAGTGCCCTGTGTATTCCTTTTCACAAACGGTATTTTTTGGGAAAGGTGGCTGGGACTACAAGGCTAAATAGCTCAGGTCTAGAAGGTGCTAAGTTATTTAGGAGCGGGATAAACTTACCTGGAGTTTTCTCTGTCACATTATACAGAGAATCAGAAAGCCTGAGGTGTCAGGAAAATAAGAGCATCAGTCTTCCAGCACTGTGGAGAATCTTCCAACACTATGGAGAATTGGATGACTTCATGCATGCTAGGGACGGTCTTTCCCACAGAACTACACTTTCAAGTTCCCTGAGAGTTAGGCTTCATTGCACCTCACCTCTTATCTTGCAAAAGAGCTCAGTTTGAGAAGAGATATACTACACACTTTAAAAAAACTAGAATCCCAACCCCCAGACTCCTCCCTCTTCCATCCATGGTTATGGGTACAGTTGTCTTTTGACTTTTTTAAGGGCTTGGATAGCTCAGTGGTAGAGTACATTCTTGTCACATGGACAACCCCAGGTTCACTCATCAGTACCTTTCTGTCCCCAGTTTTAGATAACTTTTTACAAATGAGTCCTTTATTGTCCCTATATTTACCCTGTAGCTTCCTGACCTTTACCCCAAGACCTTTCTGTTTTTCACTCAGCCCAGTGGGGAAAATGACTGGGCATCGTTACTGGAACCTGGCCTTTGCCTGCCCTAGCACTGGGCTGTTTTTGCTGTGAGTGGTGTAACTCAGGACTTGTTTTGCTCTAATGGAGCCAGAAAGCGGTGTTCTGGCAAGGCTGCTCATGACCAGCTGTGTGGGTACAAGGGTGTCTTTTCTCGTCCTGTAGGTTGAGCCCCATAGCACATGTCCTTTTGTGTATAACGTGGGGACTTGCCGAAGATCTCATCTTGAGTCAGATTTTGTAGTTACTCTTGATTTGTGCCTGGACCACTTGCTGAACTAGCCTGAGTAGTGAGCTTCCTTAGGTTGTGTGCACTGATAAGTCTGCAGCCTTTCCACACCGACCCAGCATTGCTAGACTAGTCCTGTGAGCTAACAAAATAGAGCAGGCTAGAGGTCAGTGGACTTGGGTCAGTTGGCTAGACAACCAATAGCTTTTTTTTTTTTTTTTTTTTGGCAGTAGAAGAGGTAAAGTGGGAAGGCATAAATGCCAGAAAGGGGCACTGCTGTGGTGTGAGGGCTTTGGAAGTATGGGATGTGGAAAAAGAATGGTACAGGAGCTCGCTAGTAGGAACGGCTTCCTTTGTGAATGATTAACTCCCAGGCAAAGGAGGTGACCTAGGAGGAAGGTCCATTTAACAGGAACTTTGGACTTGGGGCAGAGTGTCCATAAGACTGGTGTGTAGCCTACAGAAGAAGAGGACGTGGCTGGGCATCAGGGCTTTCAGGACTGGTGTAAGATCAGGTTTGCTGCAGGCTTCATGAATTCTTCAGGTTTCATTTCAGGTTATGGAGTCTGTCAGTCCTGAGCCCTCAGAGGGGTGGCCATGATGGTGGGGTTCTGTCCATGGTCTCACTCCTTCTCCTTCCTCTCTAGGTAGCTATGGACACAAGTCTGTGCTGAGAGAAGCGGGGCATGGCTGCGGCCCTCCAGGTCTTGCCCCGTCTCCGAGCCCTGTCACATCCATTCCTCTGGGGGCCCCCAGTGGCCCGGATGACCAGTGGTATGGCCTTGGGAGAACAGGCACAGCAGCTGTTTGACAGTGCGGTGGGCGCTGTGCAGCCAGGTCCCATGCTGCAGAGGACACTGTCCTTGGATCCTAGTGGCAGACAGCTGAAGGTGCGGGACCGGACCTTTCAGCTACGGGAAAACCTCTACCTAGTGGGCTTTGGCAAGGCTGTACTGGGCATGGCAGCTGCAGCTGAGGAGCTACTGGGCCAGCATCTTGTGCAGGGTGTTATCAGCGTACCCAAGGGGATCCGAGCTGCTATGGAGCATGCTGGAAAGCAGTAAGAATCTATGGGGTCAGGGGATGCCCTCTACTGTCCTTTTGAAGAAAACTTCCCTTCCTCTTTGACCTCCTTATCTTCTGGGTCTGGCCTGGTACAGCTGAGAAGTCCGGTGGGAGGAGAAGAGCCCACCCCATCTCTTCTCCCTTGCTTGTTCCATCCTCAGAGAGATGCTGCTGAAGCCACACAGCCACATCCAGGTGTTTGAGGGTGCCGAGAACAACTTACCGGATCGGGATGCGCTACGGGCTGCACTGGCCATCCAGCAGCTGGCAGAGGGGCTCACTGCTGACGACCTGATGCTTGTGCTCATCTCAGGTGTGGCTTCCAGATCAGCTGGGAACAGCTGACGGGGATGCCCCAAGAACAGATGTTCACAGGGTGAAGTTGGGACCACAGGAGACAGTGAGGGACCTGGAGGGCACCTTGTGGGTGGTGTCAGGCCAGTCATCTATCTTCAGCTGTAAGTTCACCCTCCTGAATATTCTGTAATGGTGAAGGCACAGCCGGGTACCTACCACTGACATACATCAGAACCTTTGGAAAACATTGCTGTCTGCAGCAGTGTCACTCAGGAAGCTGGGTTTCCAGCCTCCACGGAACTCTCTCCTTGCTTATCTGCTGTTTTTTTTCTTGCTCTTTGTTAGTTTAAAATTTTTTAATATTTTTGTGGTATCGGGGATCGAGTTCAGGGCTTCACACAGACTAGGCAAGCTCTTTGCTAGTAAGCTCCTTCTGGGATCTGGTGTACCCTTAGTAGGGGACAGCTTCACCTGTGTCCACAAGGGGGCACTGTAAACCCACCTTCTTAGACCACTTCCCCTGTGGCCTGCCTGGTTCTCTGGGTCGGGCAGTCTCCTTTCCCTGACACTCTCACTGACTCTGCAGGTGGGGGCTCAGCCCTGCTGCCTGCTCCTATCCCACCTGTCACACTGGAGGAGAAACAGATGCTCACCAAGCTGCTGGCAGCCCGAGGAGCCACAATCCAGGAGCTGAACACTATCCGCAAGGCCCTGTCCCAGCTGAAGGGTGGAGGGCTGGCTCAGGCCGCCTATCCTGCTCAGGTACCCTAATCACTTCTTCAGTCAGCTATGGGTTCCCGACATGTGACAGGGAGATGAGAGCTTAGGCCAGCATTTGAGTTGGCAGGGGCCTAGCCCAGAAAGTCCTGGGAGGAAACCTAAAGAGGTTAAGGGGGAGGCAAATTGGTTAGGTGTTCTGCCACCCCACCTGAAAGTGGCAAGAAGTGGGTAGATGTGGGCAAGGAAGCATACCAGGTGCTGTATACCCAGGGCCAGTTTGTCCTTAAGGGCCCTGGAACATGGAGGAGGGAGACTGAACCTTATTTTGTGGCCTTTGTCTAGGTGGTAAGCCTCATCTTATCAGATGTGATCGGGGACCCTTTGGAGGTGATTGCCAGTGGCCCTACTGTGGCCAGTGCCCACAGTGTGCAAGATTGCCTGCATATTCTTAATCACTATGGTCTTCGTGCTGTTCTGCCACGCTCTGTGAAGACTGTGCTCTCTCGAGCTGACTCTGACCCCCATGGACCACATACCTGTGGTCATGTTCTCAATGTGATCATCGGCTCTAATTCTCTGGCACTGGCTGAGGCTCAGAGGCAAGCTGAGGTACTGGGCTACCATGCCATGGTGTTGAGCGCAGCCGTGCAGGGTGATGTAAAAAGCGTGGCTCAGTTCTATGGACTGCTAGCCCAGGTGGCTGCAGCCCACCTCACTTCATCCTTGGCTGAGCGTCCCTCGGAGAAGGAGGCAAAACTCCATCAGCTGGCAGCTGAGCTCCAGCTCCCGGACCTGCAGCTGGAGGAGGCTCTGGAAGCTGTGGCAAAGGCTAAAGGTCCAGTCTGCCTCCTGGCTGGTGGTGAGCCCACGGTGCAGCTGCAGGGATCTGGCAAGGGCGGTCGGAACCAAGAACTGGCCCTGCGTGTGGGAGTAGAGTTGGGAAGGCAGCCACTGGGGCCTATTGATGTGCTATTTTTGAGCGGAGGCACTGATGGGCAGGACGGGCCTACAGAGGTGGCCGGGGCCTGGGTCATGTCTGATCTTGTCAGCCAGGCTTCCGTGGAAAGCCTGGACATAGCCACCTTCCTCTCCAACAATGACTCGTACACGTTCTTTTGCCACTTCCGCGGTGGAACACATTTGCTGCACACAGGGTTGACAGGGACCAATGTTATGGATGTCCACCTCCTGATTTTTCATCCTCAGTGATGGCATAGCTCACAGTTTCAATGGCAGAGTGATCTTAGGAAGATCAAAGACTGATTCCCAGGCCCCATTGTGCCTTAGGACTCCCTCCTCTGCTGCTCCACTCGCCTCCCTCAGATCTACTCCATGTTTGTTCTCCCAACTAGATTAGAAGATGGGGGCTACTTTCCACCCCTAGTTTCTGTCATGTCGGCAGATAACTCTGAGGCCCAGAAGGAGCTTCTTGGCCAGTTCACAGTTCTCATTTTCTCCCTGGAAGCCTTTCTGCCCAGGTCCTCAGCCTGTTTCTTCCATGGAGCAATGCTTGGGAGACTGAAAATAAAAAGCATGTTGTGGGGGGGGGTCTCGGCTTATCTTCCCTCAGTGCCTCTTTCTGTAGCACAGATCTTTGTGGGGCTGCTGGGCAGGGGCACATGATGTGGTCCCAGCAATGATGCCAGTACCTCGCCTAGTTTCTAACGCCCTCTTTGGCTGGGTGCGCACTCAGTGCACACTCAGGGTCTGCTGATGGGAATCTGTGACAGTTGAGTCTGGTTCCTAGTGGCCTCCGTGTGGGTGAACAGGACAGGCTTATAGTTGCTTACTTAACCATGACTGCCTGTGGCAACCTGGTCATGGTTTTTCCTCTCCTGCTATAGCCTGACTGGATGGAAAGTATCTACTTGCCACCAAGGTTCTTCCTTCTGTATTTGGACCACTCTTAGCTTTCCCCCTTACCCTCTGGTTATCAAGGGCTTTCTTCAGGCTGTGGGGCATTGAACTTGTTCTCCCATGTCCCCTTTTCCCAGGCTAAACATGTTCCATTGCTGCTCCTCTGGGTACCCAGTTGGGGCCCTGGTGCCAGCATTTCAGTGTGTGTCTCAAGCACTAGAATGGTAAGTCAGAGCAGTGAAGGAGCTCAGCAGTCCCTCACTCCATCCTATCATAGCTGGCACAGGGGAGTTACTTGGCTTGGCCTGCAGCCACTGGCCTGGTTCGCCTTGAGCCCTCTCGGTTTCACATCAGCGCCCCCTGTTGGCTATCCTCACCGTGCGCCACGGCTCCAATCCCTATATGAGCGAGCAATAGAATCACATAGGAATAAAAAGCCATAGAGAACAGTGAGGCCTGGGGCAGCCCCTGTGGCCCTTCTTCCATCGTGAGGGTGCGAGGGGCTCTAGGTCAGAGCTGATGTGTCCTAGGAAGGGCCTTCCTTCCCTTGTCCATTGGACAGTCTAGCTAGGGCTTGCAAGCCTGGCTCCTGTGTGTTCCTCGGGCTGAAAAGGAGGCAAGCAAGGTAAGCTGGCTCTGAGGACCAGATAGGTTTTGGGAAGTGGAGTGGTTTGTACCGTTTTCTTTCCTTCTGTTCTTGTGTAGAGGGTTAGAGTCTCTGGGAATCTTGTCTTTACACTGGTGTTCTAGTATCCTCCAGGAGTGGCTCTGTCCCTGTGTCTTTAACTTTGGGAATGTATTCCCATTGGAAATTGAGTTTCAGGCAAGAGCTTTGAGAGAACTTTTCAGCCACACCCTCGGTGTCTCTTTGTGGTGAACATGTGAACAGTGGACACTGGTGTCAGAATGCATCTGTAGTGTATCCATGGGTGCTTTTCAGAGTAGGGTTGCTCGTGGGGACTGCTGCCACATTGCCTGCTGAGGGCTTTGCATATAGTAGAGTCTTGCTGGAGGCTCCCCTTGTCTGCCTTGGTCCCTTTCCTGTACCTATGCTTTCAGAGTCTGGGGGCCAGGGTCTGAATTGGGCCCCATTAGAACAGACAGTTTGTGGGCTTAACCTGCTGTATTTGCTCATCTATATATTGGTCAGTCTAGATAATAAAATATGCAAATTCATCACAGTTATAGATCAATAGGACTTTTTTTTTCTCCATCAATATCAATTATGTAGCCAGGCCTGGTGCACAGGCTTATAATCCCAGGTATGTGAGAGGCTGGAGGACTGAGAGTTCATGGCTAGCCTGAGCTACAGAGTGAATTCAAAGCCAGCCTAGGCAATTAGGAGAGATCCCATTTCAAAAAGCTTTAAAAAGGGCTGGGCATAGGCTGGAGAGATGGCTTAGCAGTTAAGAGCACTGACTGCTCTTCCAGAGGTCCCGAGTTCAATTCCCAGCAACCACATGGTGGCTCAAAACCATCTGTAATGGGATCCAGTGCCCTCTTCTGGTGTGTCTGAAGATAGTGACAGTGTACTCATATAAATACAATATATAAATAAATGAAAACAAGGGAGGGCTGGGCAGTGGTGGCACATGCCTTTAATCCCAGCACTTGGGGGGCAGAGGCAGGCAGATTTCTGAGTTTGAGGCCAGCCTGGTCTACAGAGTGAGTTCCAGGACAGCCAGGGCCATACAGAGAAACCCTGTCTCAAAAAAACAAAAAAGCTGGGTGGTGGTGGTGCACACCTTTAATCCCAGCACTTGGGAGGCAGAGGCAGGCGGATTTCTGAGTTTGAGAGTTTGAGGCTAGCCTGGTCTACAGAGGATATCCTGGTCTACCAGGATATCCAGTGCTACACAGAGAAACCCTGTCTCAACAGCAACGACAACAACAACACAGCATCAACAACAAGAGGCTGGGAATGTAGTCAATGATACTTACTGTTCTAGCATGTGTGAAGCCCTGGGTTTAGTTCCCAGCACTGAAAAAGAAAATAAACGAATGAATGGCTCTCTGCACATGTGTCTTCCTAATTATGCGTTATTAAAGACACTGCCCTCCTTTGGCTCTTAGCCGTTTCTCCCGACTCATGGTTTTGCTGCCCAAATCCTTACTTCATCTTCATGTGCTGATACTTTCCATGGCTAGAGGGTACCCAGCCCTCCTTCACATTAAAGCCTCCCCATTCTCTGCACTTGGTATCTGTACTTGGCATGAGCTGTGGGTCTGGAGAGCCTTTTGGAGTCAGCTTAGCTAAACCCATTTGCCCTATAGCTGAGGAATTAGAGAAGACGGTTTACCAGGGACTGTAGAGTAAGTCAGTCACAGACCAAGGATGAGAACCTGGTTTGAGTCCTTTTACATACATTCTCTGCTGCCCTTTGGGGCTCAGATACTGTGAGGGCCAGCCCAAGGCACAACCAGAGTTAGGGGATGTACCTTTGCTTTCCTTGTTGTTCTCAGTGGGTTGAAGATGGCGGTATGACCATACTTAGCCTCTCCAGGGATCTGTAAAGCAGGTTTGTTGGTCTCTTTGTGGTCTGGAGGAGCAGTGTGTTGAGTGGTTTAATAGGAGACCCCATACGTGTGAATGGTGGGTGTCTATGTATATGTGTGCACATACCTGAGTGTGCATGTGTAGGGGTATGTTTCCAGTGCAACTTCCAACCAGTCACCGTGTGGACCTCCACACTGCTCTGCTCCAGTCCAAGGTGCAGGCGGTTTGCTGTAGTTAGAATTTTGGGAATATTGTAAAACATAGTAGGCAAGGAGACCTTAAAGGCTGGCAGAGGCAGGATGCCAAAGGGCCTCTCCCTCCCTCCCTTGCCTCCTCCCTCCCTCTCATTTTCACCTTTGCAAGTCCCTTATGGCCTCAGCCCTGTAGCCTTTGCCTTCCTTTAAGCATTGGCAACCCTGTTCTACTTTTTTTTTTTTTTTGAGACAGGGTCGCTGGGCAGTGGTGGCGCACGCCTTTAATCCCAGCACTTGGGAGGCAGGGGCAGGTGGATTTCTGAGTTTGAGGCCAGCCTGGTCTACAGAGTGAGTTCCAGGACACCCCGGGCTATATAGAGAAACCCTGTCTCGAGAAACCAAAAAAAAAAAAAAAAAAAATAGAGAGAGAGAGAGAGAGAGAGAGAGAGAGAGAGACAGGGTCATCTGCCTCTGTCTCCCACATGCTGGAACTAAAGGTGCCGCCACACCCAGTTCATTGGCAACTCTTTAGATGCCCACTTTGGAATCAAGATGAAAGTTCTGGTTCAAACGTCCTTGGGGATAAATGAACCCCTCTGTCCCTGGGAATGTCATCAGTGGCTTGAGGATATGGAAGGTAGAGAGACTGGACAGTTAGTGTATCCATTAGCAGGAATGGCCATGTAAAATCTCCCTAGAGTGGCACTTAAGTGGAAGGCACATTAGGGTGAAAGTCCGGTCTTAGGTCCTTGTCCTGCCTTGTTACCTGTCCTTTCTCCTTCTTCTGATGTTGACAGTGTCTGTGCCCTGCTCACCTCTGGTGGGCTGGGGTTATCAGCACCAGATGAATCTCTATGAGAAAGCTCCATGCAAATGGGAAACTCAGGGAGAAAAGGAAAAAAAAATAGGACTCATAGAAGGGACTGGAGAGATAGCTGCTCCTCCAGAGGACCTGAGCTCAGTTCCCAGCCCCAGCATAGCAGTTCACAACTGTCTATAATTACAGTTCCAGAGATCCAACACTCTCTTCTGGTCTCCGAGAGCACCAGGCACATACGTACATACATGCAGGCAAACCACTTAAACACATAAAAAAAAAAAGTCTTTAAAAGTAGATAAGAATAAAAAAAAAAGATAAGAATCTTAAAAAACCAACCAAACAAACCAGCTATTAGTATCTTCCAGAGATAACTGTAAAGAGATCCTGGTTTAGAGAGGTGAGATTAGAGCCAGCAGGATGCTGGTGTTCATGGCTGGAAGTCAAGCAAGCTACCTGCCACCTATATCCTTTGGATATTCGAATGGCATTAGCTGTCTTTTTTTGTTTGTTTGTTTTTAAAGATAGTCTCTCACATAGCCCAGGTTGGCCTCCAACTTGAGATGTAGCCAAGGATGACTTTGACTTTCTTCATCCCCCTTTATCGCATGAGTACTGAGAACACAGATGTGTGCCTTCACCACAGTTTGACGTGGTGTTAGGGATCAAACCTAGGGCCCCGTGGACGATCGCCGCATACTCTACCAACTGAGTTACATCCCGAGTCCCTCCTTCTTACTCTATATGTGTCTGGGAGTATCTGACACTGAGCTACAATCCAGTTAAGGATGGTATTTGAGTTATAGGAGGTCCAGGAGCTGAGGAAGGGGACTAGCTGGAGCTAGAGGAAACTGCCTGTTTAGCAGCAAGATGGTCCCTAGTGTTTCAGGGGTGGGGGGTGGAGGAAAGGCAAGGAAGCCTGTCTCTCTCTCTGAGTTTGGCTCAAGTATGAGGGACATAGGACCAGATTAGGGAGGGAGCCAACTGGCATGAGTCCAGGCTGGGTTAGAGGATTTGGAGTGTGCTTGGGGAGCAGTGGGTTGTGCCTGTGGGTGAAGGGGTAAGCCCATATGCCCAACCACTTAGGTGGACTTCCATGTGATACAGAGCTGTATCAAGCTGGCCCAGTGTGGGATGGATAGTTTGCTCTGAGAGGCAGGAATGCCTAAGGCTCCTAGGTAACCAACAGTACCAGTCCTGAGGCTTTGCTTGCCCTCCTTCCCCTGGCTCAGGCTGGCCTGTAGTGGCTGGAGGGTGTGGGCTGAAAGGTGAAGAGTTGGGTCTGTAGCAGCTCCACCTGCTCCATCTGGGGGTACAGGGGCAGGGTTAGGATCAGTGTCAGCAGCTGTTGCTCTACTAAAATGAAGTTCTGGCCAAGGGTGAAGGAGAATTGGCCTCAGTAAATGTGTACCCTAGGTTCTCAGTCCTTAGGCCACCACCCTTAGTTAACTTCAACTCAAGGGATCATATCCACTCTCATGATCTGGTCCACTACTGGCACTAGGTAGTTTGGAGAGCTGGAGGATCTGGTCCTACCCCAAACTGGCAGGACCACTACTCTCCTAGTCTTTTCTGACTTTCTTGCAACCAGCAGAGCTCTTGGGACTATGAGCTTTTCAGTCTTGGTCCCAGTCAGAGCCAGCCCTGCCTCCAGCTCAGCTGAGAGGGGCCAGTTGGCTCCGCTCCTGTCCCTTTCATTCACTCTGTTCCTCACCCTGCATCTTCTCCAGGATGTCCCAGAAAGTGCACTTGTGCAGCACTCGAGAGCCAGGGTTCACTCTCTACCTGCTTTCCACCGCCTCACCCTATCTCTCCTATAGAGCGCGGATACCTTTCTGTCCCTCCCAATTCCAGGGAGTCAATTGCAGGAATATCTGTTTCCTGGACTCAAACGCCAAGAATACTGTCCTGGGCACCGGTTCTGGGCGGGAGCTGGTCAAAGACCGGCAGAGAAGGGAACGATGCCTATGGCTTTGTGAGTCTCAGGGAGGAAACCCGGGAGCTGGTGGTAGGGGAGAGAGCTCTGCCCCGCCTCCTCCACCTGGGCAGTAGGAACGTCCCAGCCCCAGTACATGCCAGGCTACAATCAACACCCCCTGAACCACCCCCCACCCGCTCTGGGAGAGACACTTGTGAGGGTCACAATGTGGTCAATGTGGCTGATGCCTCCTGGCAATCTCCTAGCCGCAGCCTGGCTAGAGGCAGGGAGGACTGGGCGTAGACTCAAACCTTCAAGGGTGGAGTGGTTCGGTGTCCCAGCCTCCTTCACTCTTTCGGATCTCCCGGGGGTCTCCCTCAGCCGTGGGCCATCAGCATTAGCTGGGTACCAGGGCAGGGACAGCCTGCCAGCTCCCTGCTATCTCTTTCCCTCCACCCTGCTCTTGCTGACCAGTAGGGCACCTGCGGCTAGCAGTCTGCTGCTTCCGTTGTCCTGGGCAGAGAAGTGGTGTGGCCCTGGCTGCCCACTGTCCCCACCTGTCCGCTCCAGGGCTTTGGCTGCCCCGTGCGTGTGTCCCCGAACCCCCAGCTTACCTCAGTGGCGCTGTCTCCTCACCAGAGGCACTGCAGTGTGGGAACTGTCCCGAGGAGCCGGTTCTCAGCTGAAACAAAGAGGTGGGGGAGAAAGAGGGGGGCAGCGGGAGAGGGAGAGGGTGAGTGAGCAGGCGAGGACTG